AAAAAAAAAAAAAAACCCACAAACAAACAAAAACTCAAGTTGTGTTGAGGAATCATTTCAAGAACTGGAGCACCTGTCTGCTAAACAGTTTTTCTGACCATTAAACTAGGAAAATCCCAGAAGAGAGTTCATGACATGGAAGATAAATTTTCCCATACAAATACTGAATAAATCTTTGGAAATAAACTGCAGCCTGCGGAGAACCCCACACCAGAACAGGCAGATGTGCTCTGAAGGAAGCTGTGACCCTGTGGAGAGCCCACACTGGAGWAGGYTCCAGTCTGTGGACATTAATRTGATAAAAGTCAAGTTTTTTCCTACTGTGAAGAGTATCTCAACAGAACTATYTCATGTCAGTCACTTTAGAATGCTGAGGGATTTGTAGGTGGACTGTTGATTTCAAATCAACAGTCACAGGGCTAAATGGTTTAATAAATTACCTTCAGAAATTTCCTTCAGGCTTAAAAGATTGGCTGAAGAACAAGACACTAATCTTGCCAAATTCCAGGTAAAAGAGAGGCAAAAAGCACAGGCTGAAAGCTCTCATGCCATACCACAATATCAAACCTAATATTCTTAAAGTCTAACAGGAACAACTAATGCTGCAATTTCTTGTTGGAAATGATAGGACGACTGAGGGACCAAACTATCATATTGTTAAGAATATAAGTGAAAAAGATCTATTTTTATTCCCTCACAAACTCACTTTTAGAATTCAKGCCTAATTATAAGAGTGATTCTTGGTGACAGTTCCTTCTCTACTGCATTCAAACACACATCTAAGTCCAAAATAAAATACGCCAAAAGACAGGCATGATGTGCATGTCAGGGTCAGGACAGCATGATACCATTTTTCCTTATTTCTAAAAGCCAGTCCAAAAGTTGGAGAATATATTCCTTGCAAAAAAAGGTATCATGTGGCTGATGTATTAATACAAATTCCCCGTGGTTCAGACAAGATTAAAATAGTAAATCTTCATGAACCAAACTTYTGGTAATTTGGCATTGTGTGAATGTAAAAACACATACTGACTGGAATTTGGAAATGACTGCTACTAGGTCTAAAACCTRATGGAGGAATTCCAAAAGTAAAATTCCAAAAGTAAAAGCAGTTTTTCTGCTGCGAATCAAAGACACTGAAGAGGCAGCATTCTTCTTGCATACCATCAACATTCAAATACCTAAACTATTTCATTACAAATCATGTTTCTAAAAAGAACAAAATTATTTATGTGTAAAGAAGATTWAGTTGCAATTAATAAAGTCCACTTGTTCTGTTAAGGATGCCACGATTCTTTCTGAGGTTCAGGACAATGAAAAATCACTTTATTTACCATTTTATGTTGTTCACTCTGTTTCATGAAAGACCACAATTATTTCATGACAATAATGCTTAACAATTTAAACTGGCAGTATATTTTTAACTTCATGAGAGTTCATAGTTATTTCATGAATGAAACTTATGAAAACACTACTTACATGTCTCCTGAAAATCGTATTTTCAAGCAATTCTGACAGGCATCCAAACTGGCTCTCTTCTCAACACTTGGAAACCATTAATGGTCTGCTACTTAACAAAGATGTCAATGCTTGGTACCTTTGTCCTCTAGCAACCTCTAATCAAAATTTTTTAGAATAGATTTGAATTTCTTGTAATACATTTTTCTTCATGAAGGTACTCTAAAGCACCCTGAGTTGTCTTTAATCCATTATGCTTYAAAAGCCTGGYTTGAAGKCAGMTTCAAGATTSACCAYGTYAGATTGMCAGAATTTCYRAATATATTGTATGTTTGCCCTTCCWTTACAAAGTTGTTACAAAGTTACTAAGAATTAAGTTGTAAAAACTTAATCCAAAGTAATCTTTAATCAAAATCCAAGTCTGTACTTCTAAATGTATATTTTTATTAACCCCTAAAGAGTTGCAGAAGGAAACAGGAGGGAGAGAAGAAAAAAACCTGTGGCAGTGTAATAATTACAGTGTCTCATGAATATGCTAAAAATCAATCTTTTTGTTGTTACATTAACTACTTAGGAATTCTACGAATCAAAGGTACATCTACTAATATATCTGGATCAGATACAGTAGGACTAAATAATCAGCCTGTAAGTTTGTTTTTTTGAACATTATACACTTGTACATGTGAGGATAAAATGGAGCAAATTTTAGAAATATCACAGTTACTTAAACATCTTGGCATCCAAGTCTGAATGTTTCTGCTTTTAATACAGAATGATGAGAAGRACAAAAATCCTAAATTAGTTTTTAAAAATCTAAGGCTGTCTTATATATATATAACCAAGATATGTATAACCAGTAATAAATAATAATTGAGCAACAGATAATTTTTGATTGATATGTCATAACATTTACTATTACTTAATAATTAATAATAGCTAATTAATAATAGAGAATTGCTCATGCCTGAAGAGATTACCAATTTTTCTTCTAATAAAGCAATTTATCTATTTTACCAAAAGCATAAACATGACTGTCTCCTTTCCTCAAAATGCACAGTCAGTCATCATTACACATCAAAATACCATATAATTTTCTTTACAAAGGTCCTACTGCTGTAAAAYCACCAGAAATTCTAGGCTGCAGCAAGTTTTTCACCTCTACAGGCACAGCCAGACCTGTGCTCCCTCCACAAAGACCATGCATGGTAGAATATTTGGTGAAGAGTGTGGTGGAGGAGGTGCTGAAAAGGGAGCATTTTGTACATGTAAGTGTGGGGGAAAAGGGCCCCACAAGCCCTGATTCTGAAACYCAGCCAATTATTGTGTATGACTGAGGCCTGGGAAAAGAAAGGGATGTTAACAGCCTACATGGAGGAGGAATGCTGCATCCTTGAGAAAAGCAGATTGGAATGCAGAATTGATAATGCAGGTGGCTGAAAATTATAAGCATTACTAATACTGTAACTTTTGCAAACTCACCAATTATGTTCTGATTACTAATTAAACAATTAGTCTGTCTCTTGACCAATGTATGTTTGACACAAATGTATACTCTGGTTGCTAAAGTGGATAAAAGAGGCTTGTCCCACAATCTTTCTGTTTTTTCACCCACTTTTTGTGTGTTTTGTATCTATTCTTTTCTGTCGCTGTTTGGCCAGCAGCGACATGTAAATACATTTCTGTTGCTGAGGTATGCTTGTAAAKTAATATTAATTTCAACATTTCATAAATTCTGAGCCTTCATCTCTTTCAAGTTCAAGGAAAACATAAGAGGTTTTTCTGTATGATAAGTACTTACATGCATATGCCTTTGCACAAATGTATAGATACTCAGTCTYACACACAATATATAAACCAACAGCAGCAATGAAGAAACTTGCAGCATTAAAATATACGTTGTTTTATGACACACAAATACTATTTTATTTCATGAACTTTTCACTGAAGATGCAATCAAGAAAAACACCTCTATCTACTGGTTCTGCCTTTATCAGCAAGACTGTGAGCCAACCTATCCCATCCACAGGAGGCAATGCCCAGTCCCAAAGTCTGAAACATCCAAAGATGTTCTGTTCAACCAAGGGGTCTGAGAGTGGGATAAAGCCATGTGCACTAAGACTCAGATTCGAAAAGTGGAACATAAAATAGAAGAATGGAAAATACATACAGCTAATTTGCTTAGATTGGTCAGCATTTCGTTTTGATCTCCAAAGCCAGTTGTATGAATTTTGCTCACAGCATCCTCTTTCTCAGTAAGCCATGCATCAAAAAGGCACTGAAATTGGAGAGAAAAAGCAACAGTCAGGCYTTTCCTATATATWTKATATATAATTATATTTYCTATAWTATTTTGAAGAACAYTACAATTTATAGCTTAAAAAGCTAYGCACCTGCTCTTCTGCAAAATGCTGCCATTTACGAAGAATATCCTGCAGAAGGACCCATCGCTCTTCYGTCCATCTACAGATGGCTGCCCACCGTTTTCCAAAGTGCTGGAGAGAAGGAAACACAAAAAGAGAGTTTTYAGTTTGTTTACTTTTTTCCTCCTAAACAAGGAAAGTTGTTTTCCTTATGGCATTAAAATTTCTTATGAAAATATTTTCCTAATTCACTTTTTTTTTTCCTTGTATATGCCCTTAAAATATGTTGCAYGTCACACTGAAATGGATTTTAGCACCATTTGGAATAAAAACAAAATGAAGTGAATAGGGAAAGCAATAGATCCAAACACAGAATATTTTAATACCAATCTACAGACAGTTTTCTAGCAAGTCTCTAGTACAACACTTTCAAAAAAAAATACCTTTGTTTCAAAACTTTATGATACACAAAAGAGAACTGCTTGAAATSTAAACCTGATGGCCCAAAGATGTAGCCAAAGCAAAAAGGCATTTGGATTTTCAGTTGCATCATCAGTATAGCTGGTCAAAGTTCTTACCTCTTTTAAAATAGTGCAGTGGGAAAAACCCCACCCTTTTCAACTGCCACACAAGCATAAATCCCACTGTGGTTTCACAGGTATTCATAGCATACTGTGTGTGTATTCAGATTACACAAAATGCCACCTTGTTCTCTTCTCCCTTGTTTCTTTTGTTTTCTTCCAAGAAAACAAAACGTTTTTTGTGATCATTTATAATGGCCTAATTACCCCTGGCCATCAGATGCTAATTATTCAGCTGTTTCCAAATAAAATAAAAAAAAAAAAATCCCTTATAGATGTCTGAAAGATACTCTATATTAGTCCATTCTTTTTTTTTAATCCACTTCAAAAGCACATCCTGATAAAAAGATAATAGCTTATTCCTTTTTTTAATATTTAGTTATTTACTTTATAACTCTTATGGGTCCCTTATMATTTGAGATATTGTCTGATTCTATATCTTTTGTATTTACATTTTTCTCACAGAGATTATAACTTGATTTTAGCAAAATTGTAGCATCCAAAATGGTGGATTCTGAAAACCAAAGGATTAAAATTAGAACTGTATTTTCCATCAGGAATAAAAAAAATTAAGTTTCACTTCCTAGGATATGAGAGATAAAATTTCAGTGCCATTTCAATTTCAATGCCATTTTAATTTCTTGCTTTAACAGTTGTATGTAACAGGAGAAACAAACATCTGCTGTATGTAACAGCAGATACAATTTTCCATTTAGTGGACACTCACTAAAACCATAAAAATATTCAATTTAATATTTTTACCTTGATAATTAGTAGTTCAAAAATCATAAGCATATCTTTAGTCATATTTTTTTATAAAAATCCTCATACCCAAGTTATTTTTAAGTATCTCACAACCAAGCTGCTGACTCTTCTTAATGATTCGCATGAAAACAAAAAAAATTCTCAACAACTGTAACAACATCTCCATCAACATGCCTTTACCATTGTGGCATACCATTGAAAGTATTTTTTTTGTTTGGTCCTTTAGAAGACAGAAAATCTCAAGAGACCAAGATCAGATATCTGGCTCTGAGAAATATATTGATCTGCACAGCAAAAAAATTAACACAAAATACTGTTTTCAGCATATGATTCCAAGGAGCCACAAAACCTACCTTTTTTTTTTTTTTTTTTTTTTTTTTTTTTTTTTTTTTTTTTTTTTTTT